GGTATAATTAGTACACACGAAGTTGGTAACTCGATAAGCCGATAATGGGGAAAGCGTTCCGCTCCCTTCGCGGCGATCTCAAGCTGCAACAACTGACCCTGTTATTTCGGCAAACACGTCAGGGGTTTCTGGCTCACCGCCATGCGATCGCCGAAAAAGAGTTTTCCCTCATTTCTCCTCGGGATCCTCTCCATGGTAGGATCAAGTTCGTTCCACCGACAGGCTTTTCTCGGGTCGTTTGTTTTGCAGGACGGCCGATGCGCCGCGACAAAAGGCGATCTCTCGATCAGTAGGGGGGGTAGCAAGTATATTTATTGCGAGCGGTATCCCTCGCGACTTCAAAGCGGGGAATATTAATGATCGGATTAGAATAACGTGATCCGACACAACAACGCGGCCATTATCGGGTGTAGCCCTGCCCTTCTCGGTGTCTCTTCCGTTCCTCGGAACACCTTTTCGACCCTTCTCTCTGGTCAGTATTGACATTCAACCACGATCGTATTAACTTACCTGAATTTATAGCGCCGTCGGATCCGTGTAGTGTCCAATTAACCTGATTAACCCAATTAACCGTAGCCTCACCGGGTTTGTGCTTCGGCTACTCGGATTTCGCTGTCGGTGGCTCCGCTAATCTGTCCACGGAGTTGGGTGCGGTTTTGTCGTTATATTATGTGCAAACTTGGCAATCCATCGATAACGGTCCGGCCCGTTATACCGGGTGAACGTGAATTACGCCGATAACATCTCCAATTACGCTCGCTTGATGTATTTTACGATTATCGATTTATCCGTTATCATCTGCACGCGACGAGTTAGACGGAATGCGGACGGGAGAAAACGCATTCCGAGGAACGATCGTCGCGGCGTGGGACGTCGCGCCCGCGTCCCGTATTCATTCGTTAGCGATGCGAGGAGAACGAGAGCTCGGCTAATAAGATTATAGTCGACCCGCACGATCTAATAGTGGCGTATAAAGCGGAGTCGCGGCGGCGCGGTGGCGGCGCGGAGAGGGTAATATAAATCTGGCGCGGAAATCTGCGAGATTCCTCGCGTCCCCGCCCTAAAGCGCCCCTCTCTCACCTTCGATTACGGCGCGGCTTTTTACGATATAGCGTTGGGATAAGTTTCCCGCATACTTCGGGGATCGAGATTCTTGGGGCTTCGGTTCCGAGCTCCAACCCCCGAGTCCCCGACGGCGCCGCCGCGCTTACCGTCTTCACCACCAATCGCAATATCTCGCCCCGCGCTTTGGCGAGTGTTGCTCCGGCGGGTTGGTATGCACGCCTGCGGTGCACTTTGGAATCTAATATGGCGCTGACGAGGACGCGTCCTGTCCAATAAAATGTCGCCGGTGCATAAACAGCGGTGCGATCCTGCCTAGCGATTATTGCCATGAGGCACGATCATTGGGGGTGCCTCGGCGATTTCGTCGATGCTAACACGACAACAGAAATTCAACGTACGTTAATTAATCTGCGGCTAATAATAACCTGTATGACAATTCTATACTACTATAAGTACACTAACGTTTGCTCTTTCGCGTAATCCGGTAAACAGAAAATCAACACGGACGATGGGAATTTTGTACCGTAAAATTTTGAAAATTTTATAACTTTGCAAATTGCACGCCTGCACGGATTGATTTATATATCGTATTATCGTTTAACACACGACAGAAAGTTGATCGAATAATGAACCGAACAACAACTCGAGCTACTCGCGTGTGCGAGGGGCATTAAAAATTCATTTACCATATTATCTGTCGCGACGTAGATTAACGACAATGGCCGAAAATCCCAGCAGGATATAACGCTGTACGGCATATCACATTTTATGTACAGCTACTGCATTATACCGTATTATACCATGCTAGAAATCCGGATTATACTCTTATCCATTGATTTAAAGCATTTACGCCGGGGCACGGTAGTCTCTATGAGAAACTGCATATAGGAAAGATTTTGCGCTTAATCGCACGGCTCTTCTCCTGAATGGCGCGTAGGAAAAGTTATACGACCGTGGAGAATATTACAAAATTCAATTCACAGCTATTCAAGATGAAATAAAATCATGCGATTCCGCTTTGTCCGTTCCGCGTTAATTTATTTAATCCCACTTATACGAGCGATGCACAAAGCCTTTTCGAATCTCTTTTTCATAAGTAGGGACAACTATTATTTTTGTGAAACTTAGGAGAAAAATTTTACTCCATTTCGAATTCGTGACGTTGAAACGATTTATCTTTCTAGACGGCGCAGAGTTTAGTAGTGGCACATATAAAGAAAACGGATAACCAGAACTGGGAACAGATAACCAATAAAAGATTTGACGTACTTTCTAATCGATTTGTCTTGCAGTGTGTCAGCAACTGTCTTATCTTTCTGGCTCGAGAAATCGATGTTTAAATGTCATGTCAATCGATTTCTCTTACTTGACTAATGACATATTCACAATACTCGAAGAGAAGTTCTGATTTTAAATGCTACTATTAAAGTATAGAAATCTATTATTACAATAACCTATTTTCCATCCCAATAATCCATCCCAATAATCCAGCTTTAATAAAAGTTATTTTATTGAATATAAATATTTAAATTTTTAAAATTAAAAGTTTTGAGAGAGAGAGAGAGAGAGAGAGAGAACATCTAAAAACAAAGCAGGCTAAAAATGTCCTTAACTTTGTAAACATTCTATTTTTACAAATAAATTTGAGAGCGTCATGGTTGGATTTTGGTGCCTAGTAATAATAATATATGAATATTTAAATCCATTATTCAGCCGTTTAAATTGCGCACCGAATTAATGTCAGACTTATAACGCAATCATTAGCTGATGCTGGAATATTGAGATCACAATTGATTTTCAATTCTTAATTTTTTCTTAATAAATATAATTGTTTTTATTTATTAATTACTTCGATTGTGACCATAACACTTATTTATTTTGTATATAATAGCTTACGTCAGATACATTTATTTTTAACATAAGCACTTGAATACATTCTTATTTTTATAAAATAAATTATTTTTGCTGTTACAAATCGATTTTAATTTAGCTAATAATAAGCAAGTTATAAAATAATTATCGCTCGTATGTATAAAACAATAAAGTGAAAGAAGAGTTAGGCCAATAAACGAGCATACCTTTGGATGTTTAAATTAATATAAAAAATATTTTAATAAATAAAAAATTGATGGAACGTTTCAGCTTACTTAGCCAGTGTCATTTATCATGACTGATAAATGATAATGGCTAAGTAAGCCGAAACGTTCCATCAATTTTTTATTTATTAAAATATTTTTTATATTAATTTAAACATCCAAAAAGTATGCCCGTTTATTAGCCTAATTCTTCTTTTACTTTATAATAAGCAAGGTTCTTAATTATTGAAACAAAGATATTTTGCTGCGTAATGACTAAGCAAGTGTATATTTCCAATAATTGTGTAAATTCTCACATATTTTTAAATTAAGTGTAAGATTGAATTTCTACGCAACGAAGTCTCTGTCGAGCTTATCATTTATGATTATTGAACAATTTTTCGCGGTCCCCATTCTATTGCCGAGACTCAATCCATTAAACAGAATGCATTGATACATGCATTGATGCACCTATATGACTCGCAACAATTTCCGTCACTTTTGCACTGAAAAAGATTGCAAGATTATGATCTTGTAAGCAGATGCCAGATGTAAAACATTTTCGAAAAGTTACTATCTTTCATAAAATATATATGTTATATGTATATGTAATAAATATTTACATTCCGATCTGCACAGTTTTCTTTAGAAGCAATAGCCATAGCCAGAGCAGTCATAATGAAAGTGATGAAAACAATAAACTTCATTTTGCCAATATTTTCTATAATTATTATTTTTTATAATATATCTACAAAATATCTTCAATAAGCGCGTGTGATATAATAATGCTTTTATTAAAATTGCCAATTCAATTTTCCATTTAAATGACAAAATTAATATATGAAATAAAAAATATTTTAATAATATACATTAATAGATAGTATTATAAATAGTTTATTATTTATTAATTTCAATTAGCTGTTTTTATTTAAAATAATTAGATGTGTGTTAGAACTTACCGTTTTTCGTGAGAAGCAAATCGATGCAAGTCGTACCATCGATGTAACTCACCAATTCGAGATCTTTCAAGAGTATTTATGCTTCATATCGCACTTGTGCGATAAAAAATATCAAAATTATATGCAGTTTACGTTATCTGCTATGTTATGCTAAAAAATATCGTTTGAGCAGACTTACAAAGTTATATTCTTACGTCTTTAACGTCTTCGAATTATTAATCATAAAGGCTTCACTTTCCATTACAGTTGCGTATTTAACATTTTGTTGGCGTTAGAATGTTTTACAATGTTCTGTAAGATTAAATTACCTAATATAACAATCAAGTTACAAAACAATATTAATAAACTCGACCCCAATTCACACATACTTTGCCAAAATAAATTTTTGGAACAAATAAGAACACGATCAAAATCTTGAAAGCTAAACAAAAGTGGCGCCTGTCGGTTTTGACACTTTTAGAAGCTATCTTTTTTGGAACGGTGAGTTGCTCCAACAGGAAATTTTTTGTTAACTTCAAATTGATGAAACATTTCATTTAATATCACTTTTAAACCGCATTTCAACATAGATTTTAGGATAATGCTGGCATTAGCCTTTGTTAAAAGATCTTTTTGTTGATACAATGTAGTTGTTTAATAATAAAATATAATTTTAATAATATGACAAAACAGTTAATACAATTTTGTTTTATAATTTGACTACTATATTGTGTAATTTAACCTTACAGAATATCGAACATTATAAAACATTTTAACGTTTCAACATTAATAATTCGAATTAAAGACGCAAAAATATAACCTTGTAATAGTCTGTCCAAACAACAGGTTTCTTATATGTATATAGCAAATAATGTAAGCAATACATTTCCAATGTTATTTGCACAAGTGCAATACAAAGTATAAATACTCTTCGAAGGTCTAAAATTGATCAGTTGCGATTACATCATACGAGCTGCATAATCGATTTGCTTCTCGAGAAAAACGGTAAGTTCTAACATTTATCTAATTTTTTTAAAATAAAGACTGAGAAAATCCAAATTAATAGATAATAAACTATTTATATAAAATTATCTATTGATATTAATAATATAATATTTTTTGTTTCATTAGTTTTGTCATTTAAAAGATACATTTAAGTGTAATTAAAATGATAATTTTTATAAAAGTATTATATAATATTATATTATATCGCATGTGCATATCGCAGATATTTTGTAGATATATTATAAGAAATAATAATTACAGGAAATATGGACAAAATAAAGTTTGTGGTTTTCACTATTTTCGTTATGATTGCTATGGCTATTATGGTTACTTCTAAAAGATGTAATCCTCATGGTGGCCCAGTAAGTATATATTTTATGAATGGTAATTATTTTTCGCATTATAAAGGCAGACACAGGAAACAATATTAAAATTTTAAAAATTTATAGTTCATGTTTTGTTTTCTGTGCACAATAATTCATATAATCTTATTATTATATGAGAAAATTTTTACATCCATAGACGTCGTCTTAGGGGGGAGAGGAGGGGCAGAGCACTTTTCGCTTCCCTCCCTCAATAATTTTTACGTTTTTATTATTTTTAACAACTGTAAATAATTTCTGCAATCAAAACAACTGCGAAGAAGCGTCAGCCAGATGATATGCTAATTGTAAGTAACGTTGGCGCAGTGAACTAAAACTGGCGCATCGTCTACTGTCCTCTTCGCCATATAATGAATTCAAATGTCCAACATAAAAATACTTATTGAATATATTTTTATTTTTTAATAGTGCTAGCAAAATATAAAATTAACTTTGACTATATTAACTAAAGGTTATTCGGTTCAAATGCTTTGCCTTGCCACGCCCCGCCCCCCCCC